GGTGGTCTGTATTCGAGACGACCAGCCATTTGCGCACCGCTCACGTCACGCCATAGGAGGGACCGTTTGCAGTAGGCACGACAACATGTCCATTGGACGCTTGATCAGTGGAGGGCTGTTCTCTTTACGGATGAGTCCAGGTTTAGTCTAGAAAGCGATAGTGGGCGTTATTTGATATGGAGAGAACCCGGAACCCGTTATCATCCGTCAAACATCCGTTAAAGAGATGCATACGGAAGAGGCAGTGTCTGTGTTTGGGGTGGCATCTCTTTGGGTGGACGCACAGACCTCCACGTCTTTCCAACGGAAACCGTGAATGCTCCGGTTTATAGAGATGACATCCTTGATGCTTATGTGCGCCCATATGCCGGGGCAATAGGTGATGCTTTCTTGTTACAGGACGATAACTCAAGACCACACAGGGCTCGCATCGTAGATGATTATTTTCAACAGGAAACAATTATGCGCATGGAGTGGCCAGCTCGATCCCCGGACTTGAATCCTATCGAACACGTTTGGGATGATTTAGAGAGACGTCTAGCTGCTCTCAGTCTGTTCCCTCGGACCCTTGCCGCGCTTGCAACAGCTTTGCAAGAGCAATGGCTCTCGCTTCCTATGGAACTGATAGACCGCATAATTGAAAGCATCACGCATCACTGTATGTGCTGTATTGCTTCTAGAGGCGACCATATTCCCTATTGAAGGTACTTTTCCTATAGCAAACTGACACCTTCGATTTGTTCATTTTATACTACCATAATTGTCTGGGAATTTATTTTTATGCTATTTGATACCTTACTATGTGTTGTATATTGTGGGTAAGTTTCATAAAAATTTACATGTAACTTTTTCAGCAATCGTAATTTTTGTGATGTTTCCTTAATTTATGATAACCAGTGAATTTATATATGCTCTTTGCGGATGAGAGATGATTCAATCTCACTAACAATATTAGACGTTTGTATCTGTGTAGAGAATGGGGACCACGTCAGTCACCTGTGCAACATCGTCGAAAGGAACCGATTTGGAGGTCACAAAGATATTCCTTGGTAGTCGATTGGTATTCCTCGAAGGAGGTTCAACTAGTGCTAATCACTATTTTACTGGGGCTTTTCTTTCTAATGTGTGTCTTCTTCTACGAGTATTACTGCTTCTTTGTGATGCCTGGCTTCCTTCTGGTTACTTCCGCTCCAACGCGTATGCAGTGCTATATACATTAATGTGCATCTTTTTTAGTGTCCTACGAACCTTGAATTCCTCTTTCATGGACGACAGCGCTACACTTCATCCTATTAGCGACTGTCAGTGAACTTAGAACTAGAACTGGGTCAACTGTCAGTGAACTAGAGAATTAAAATAGTTTACCGCATGGATATATTTTTCTTTTAATTATGCGCTGTATTTCTGCATATTATATTTTGAAAATTTTGCGTTTATTGTATTCTTTTACTTACAGTATTGTTTATGAATACGTTTTCATGCATTTCATATAGAATTCTTTTTCGTCTAAGTACTTGATTTTATATAAGTTTTTCAAATAAATGTTCTTATAGTTACTTTTAAACTATTCTTAACACAAGAATGTTTCTTAAAAAATTTTTATATTTATATTGAATTTTGTGCTTTTTTATTGAATTTTTGGAACAACTGAATTATGCACTCTAACTCCTTTAAGTATTGTATTATACTGGTATAATTCGTGTAACATTCTAAAATTTTCATTTTTTATATTGTTTAACGTATAACTCGTATATTTTATAACTTACATAAACAAGTAACAACTGCAACCTGCTTATTGTATAAAATTGTATAGCATTATATAACATTATTTACCATTGTATAATATTTATAACATGCATAACTTTGTATTGTATTTTTTTTATATGTGGTACCTTTTTTTATAGTACCGTTCTTGCATAGAATTTTGTACATTTCAATTCTGTCCCCCTACATATTTCTAAGTTTTTTGTTAATTCTAAATAATTCAACTTTTCATTCTTAGATTAACTTCGAAAATATACTAGATATATGAATGATTTTGTATAATTGTGCATTACTGTTACATGACTAAGCATTTTTTTTTAAATCTTGTATTTTCTACTGAGTTGTTTCTTTTGCATATACTGCATATTATGATTAGCTATACATTTTTTAAGACGCTTTTGTATTTATTAGAAACTGTGCTTGATTCATGACTGTGTATACCTTATTTTAAGCTTTGTATTATGTATCATTGTATTCTTGTGTTAAGTTTTTGTATTCTCCGTTTCTATTTATAGTATATACTAGGGAGGGTATGTACAGGCAATATTAATATGCCGGTTTTGACAAAAACTTTGGAAAAAAGAGATGTTTGTATTTTGTTGATCTCTCATTGCTTGATGCAACGTTATTGATATGAAGATTTGGTGAGTAAGGCTAAAGATAAACGTGGGATAACAATATTTAGTAAAATGGAAATTAGACATTTTGGCTAAAATTTAAAACGTTGTCAAACCAGTGATTCTTCACAAGACTCCAAATATTTCGGCATACGCAACCATTGATGAAATAAATTTCGATCTCTGCCTAGGAGAACCAAGGAATTATTGTGAAAGATAGAGTTTCATGTAGGAAAAGTGTTCATTAAGCATATTATTGTAAATGGTTGCGAAATCTTTGAAGCAATTGCATAAAAATGCCTGAATTGCTTAAGAATAGGAAACTGATTTTGAAGAAACTGATTCCGCAGAAAATTGAGAAAAGTGTTCTAATCAAGTAAGAGGATGAAGGTTCACCCCACCAAAAATAAAATCCTCATAAAATTCTCCACAGAGCTCTATGTCGGTTGCAAGGCGAAACAGGTTTCTTAAACAGTTAACCTTCGCAATTCAAGGACTGAATAAAAGTAGCACCTTAAAAAGAAAAGCAAATCTTCAGGGTGAATCACAACTGTTGTGAACAGTGGGATCACACATGAATGTAAGTACCTACTGTCTGAAGTAAAATTAACTTGAGAGAAAAATATTATGGAGAATAATCAAATAAAAATTTGAACATTGCGTTTAAACTTCGTATTAGTAGTACATTCAGATGACCATGCTCAAAAATTAACATAATCGGAATAGTAAGTACCAGAAATGGAATTATTTGTAATTTTACGTATCTGTTCCTATGACGATAGGCCAGCAGTGGGCAGTTAGAAATCTATCAAATTTTTACATACATACTATTAGAAGTAAAATTAATGATTAATAACGAAACGTGGCACATAGGTAAAAACTGCAAGTAGCTCACGAGCCGCAGTTAAGGTGTCGGAGAGCTGCAGTTTGGCCATGCCTTGTATAAACTGTACTTTTGTTATTTAGTTTGAAATAAATGCCGTCTGATCTGCTGACTCATCACCTGGAGTGAAGAGGATGGTGTCCGCCGATAACATCGCGGCAAAAACATCGCGGACGAAAACATCGCGGAGAAAACAACGCAAGGGAAAACGTCGTGCTACAAAACATCGTGGGAGAAAACATCGCAAAGAGAAAACATGGCAGTTCTAAAACATCGTGGTACAAAACATCGTCGTCGAAAATAAAGCGGTTCAAAAACTTCGCAGTTTGAAAACATCGTCGTCGAAAATATCGTGGTAAAAAATAAAGTATCTACAAATCATCGCATGACGATAACATCGCAGACATGCTTTTTTTCAGGTTTTAATAATTGTAAATAGATTTTCATAATGATTTGTGAGCGCAAGGTATAAAGAAGGATAATTTTTACTTTCACATTTTTTATTAACTAATAAATTTTTTGCTGAAAAAGTAAGAAGGAAACTTAAGCATAGAAAATTAAATGCGTTTTATAGATTATACTTTTCATGAAAAATTACCAGTAAAAAACTTCATAAAATGTTTTATTAATGGCCTTTGTTAGTTAACTATGCCGGTTTAAAATTCTATTAGTGCTATAAGTTGCATTTTCTATGCTTAAGTTTCCTTTTTATTTTCTCAGCAAAAATTTATTAATTAATAAAAACATAAAGTAAAGTTCCTTCTTTCCATCTTGCGCTCCACAAGTAATTATGGAATATCCATTACAGTTATTAAAGCATGTCTGAAAAAAGCATGTCTGCGATGTTATCGTCATGCGATGATTTGTAGATACTTTATTTTATACACGATATTTTCGACGACGATGTTTTCAAACTGCGAAGTTTTGAACCGCTTTATTCGACGACGATGTTTTGTACCACGATGTTTAGAACTGCCATGTTTTCTCTTCGCGATGTTTTCTCCCACGATGTTTTGCAGCACGACGTTTTCGCCTTGCGTTGTTTTCTCCGCGACGTTTTCGTCTGCGATGTTTTTGCCGCGATGTTTTCGGCTGTAACCAAGAGGATAGCATCTGCCAGGATGGCTGCACATTGAAAGCCTAGACGCTAGGACAGAGGCCATCCCTGGTGGTGAGCCTTTTAACTGCCATGCTTGAAATAATGCAGGGCACAGCACTGGTGTTCCAAAATGTCACTCCCGAGCACTATTCGGGGTAATGTTTTCTGAGTGCATCGTATTGTTATACCCGAATATAAATTGTGAGACGTTTATTTCGGTTTCAATTCAATAGATGGCTGCACTTTACTGAAGGTTTCAAAGAACAGAGGTTTATGTTGAAATTGCGCGTCATTTATTTATTTATTTTTTATTTTTTGATTGCGCGGCAAACATTCGATTTTTTCAATAAAAAATAATTGACAATTTATGTACCCAAATCATCAAAATAACTTGACGGTTAAACGGAAATCATACAGACTAACCCGCATAACCAGTTCTCGGACCTGAATTCATTCACACATATATCGGATGTTCTCGGGTATGCCTGATTTTGAGTATGTCAATGAGTTGCCGAAAGGAAAGGAAGGGGTTTTTGGTTACAAATAGTTTTATTTATTGAAGTAAAACGAAGTGATTTAAATGTTGTGAGTAGAAGAGTGGAATACAGACTAAAAGACAAAGAAACACACATGTTTGTTATGATGAGTATATATCTTTGCACTTTATTTGACAAAGTTTTATTGTCTCCAATGTAATAATTGTAGATTAGTTATTACAAAAATCACTTTTCTATGACATTAAAATATAGCTTTGAAGAAGAAAATCAGATTTTTATTGTCATAGTAATGCACTTTGTGTACTATAATATTTTATAATCCAATAATTAAATATTATGTTTGAAATTAATTTGTAAACATTCATAATATGGATTGTATTGTTCGAACATTTACAATATACATACATATAGACACACATCTATCTAATAATACATAAATAAAACATTTATGTTTAGCGACGTAACGAGATTGTATTACTCACGAAAATGCTATTGGAAATAAGCACCTTGGGGAAGTAGGCATACATTGAAAATGAGGATTGTAAGGAAAATGTATTTTTAACAAATGCAAAATATTAAAAAAGTTCTAAAGATTTTTCAAATACTACTTTTTAAGGAGAAACGACACAATATACATGGTGTTCCGAAAACATATACACACTTTAATAGCTGACAATTCACTTAATTTTCTCTCTTTTCGAATTTAACCAATTTAAAATAATGGAGTTAGAAAAATTTAACATAAATGTTACTGAAAGTTTGAAAATGCTGTTAAAATTGCAAAGGGGAGTGTTTCGAACTGATTCACCAACACGACTCAACTTGTAGAGAAATCTGAAGAAGATGGAACTGTTCATGAATCTTCACAAAAATGTTTTCTAAGATTGCGTTTATCAGCGTGTCCTACGATGCAAGAAACGTCAATATCAATAGAAACCTCTTACCAAAAACTAAATAAAACTTGTGGAGGAAGAGGGTCGTAAAACGAGAATTTCAAAATCATTAATCCATTGCATTTTGAAGCGCCTTCATCAATAAATTCTAAACAATCCATGCTGTCACTGAAGATCATTCGGATCTAAGAATGCAGTTTTGCTAGTGCTATTTGGCAAGATGTGCAGAGGATGGCACAGCTTTTAAGGTAGAATGTTTGAGACAATGAGGCTGTATTTTAAAAAAGGCGTTTGCAGAAATATATTCCTTACTGCAGATTTTTTTGAATTTCAAAAATAACCTTATTTTTAAAAATCCTGACTTTATTACCATTCGAAGTGCATATGCATTTTTTGAGACATGCTGTATGTCATTTGCCTTACTGCGCATTTAAAACAGTAAAGGGATTATAAACAGACGATTGTACACAACTTTACTTTTGAATGTAATGTAATACAGCAAATAATGCTAAAATTTGAATGCAGCGAGCTTCACATCATCCGTTTGAGGATTATCCATGTATTTCAACAAGATATTCTTACATTGGTAAAATGATAATAATAAGAAAAATTATGACGTTCTGGGAGAAATTGCCGACGTATAATTTCATTACTGAGTCTTGAAAGGAATACGTTAATTTATGGCTCGAAAAAAAAACTGATCTTTGATGTTGATAGTTTTTTAAGGAAAAAATATGAAAATGTATGTAAACTTTATTATTATTTTAATTTAATCACATTGATTAGTTTATAGTATGTTGGGATTTAAATATTCCTGTGCAGTTCACTTTTTATGGTTTTCATACTCTAACTGCACATTTTTGGACCATCTTTTATTATCAATGCATTAATTAGCGTGGCTAGTTGGTATTAAGCGTATATTTTTGGAACTTAAAAACAAAAGGGTAGGAAGGAAGTAATAAAAATTAATTTTAGCAGAGCAAATGCACCAAGCAATTTAGTTAATTACGCTCAAGAGTTTATGCCTGTTGAAAAAAAAACCAGTTTTCATGGATTTGGAGAAAAAACTTTAAAATTTATTACTCTCAAATTTTGAAATTCATCATGCTCTAGTTATTAAAAAGATCGTATTAAGCGGCATGATGAAGTTAAAATAGTTTTGAAAGGCCTTATTTTTACTAGCCTGTCCGATTTTAAATTAAAAAAATTTAAGCTTCTCTTTGGGGTATTACATATTTCATAGAAATAGGCAAATCCTTTATTTTGTTCACATTTACGTAATGAAAATTTTTTCTTATACTTCTTCTCCCCAATTATTCAAATCTTGAAATGAAACTACCGAAGATATACAGCCATAATTATTCATTTTTGATAACTTCCTCTGTATAAAGCTGCTTCCTTTTGAAGTATTTTGATAACTGTATTTGAAAATACTTTGGATTGCAGTTCTCATGGAAGGGACCTGTAATAATAAAAGGAAATTGCAATAATGCAGGAAACCTGTGGGTTCAAAATACAGCTGATTATTATTAGATTGTGATAACAGTTTTTGATACAGTTTGAAGCATGTTAAAAGTTATTCTAATTTTGTGATTTTTTTCCCAATAATAGTCCTGTTTTAATTTATAATGCACTTTTTTGTATTTGAGAATTATATAATCTGAAATACTGGGTTAGGTAAAGTGACCGGAGTAGGAGCCAGGAGTCAGAAATGTTTTTAAGCGTCAGAGAGTTTTCTTTCCGACGTTCTCAAAATCTATATAGTTCTTTCACTCCAAAATACATATGCTTGATTGCGAAATGTAGCAGTTTTGCTAATGAATTCTTTTGAAATTAATGCTGCTGAAGAAGTCATTGCTTTACATCACCGGATTACAAAGCATCGAGGCAACTTGAACAACGCTCAAAATTAAGAAGCATATTATAATATATATAGAAACGTAATAATAGTGCTAACAAATGTCTAGTACTTTGGAAGAAAGCTCAGCAACTTTCTATACATCGTGGATTGTTAAATTATCTTGAGAGTGTGTCTCGTTTACTATTTAAAAACTGATAGTGGGGAAAAAAGCGACGATATTGTTTGATTGCGTTTTTAGAATGAAATAAATATTTTTAATCTGTGATTATTTTCATAGGCACTGTAGATAGTAAGATAAACTTCTCTGCCTTAAAGTACTCTGAAGGATGAAAAATGAGTCAGATATGAACATTTAAGAAACATTTCAGAGCTACTGTTGTATGGTTAACCCTTACGCTCAATATCTAAGTATGTATAAAAATTAATTTTTGTAATTATAAAGATACGCAGAAGTAAGTAAGTAAATGTACATGAAAACGTATTAAACTCTGACAAATTGGGCATTTCAAGACTCTGTATATTAGGCGCTTCTGGCATAGATCAGCGGCTCTTTAATTCATTGAGTTCGAGGAATCTTTCACCATAATGTGCATTTTGCTGGGAACTAAAACTATTAATTTTATAATTTGCTTAGCATAAAAAAGAAAATGTATTTATGTATGTAAACTACCAATGTTTCGCTATGAAAATTATTAGAATTTAAGATTTGGTTTATAAATTTAGAATTTTAGCCTTTTTAAAAAGTATTAGAAAGGAAAAGATATATAATTCCATCGTTTTTCATGAAATAATAAATAAGTAAAATATATTTATTATTTGTTCCGTATAGGAAAGATGACGCTGCTTCATTGCCACTATGATCCAAACTCTAATTCAATGTTTGAAAAAGTGTATGTGTTCTTCTTGTTCGATATTAAATTTGTATCAGTAACCTTGTTTTAACCACATGGCTAGAAAAGTCTTTTAGCAGCAATACAGATATATATAAAACTAAAGTTCGAAGTATGTGTTTTGTATTTTCCTAAAACTGCATAATATATGAGAATATTGAAGCCTTCATTATTCGTCATAAACGTTCAGGTAAAGGAACATTTATACATCATGTCCATAAAAGTTCTTATGCAGCTTTTATTTCACCAAAGTCGTAGATGTATACTCTTATAATTAAAAAGTATTTTAAGTGATGCAAATATTCATATTTTGGCATCTTTAAATTAAAAAGAAAGTTAAAATTTTTATTAATTAACTAAACACAGTTTTAATTTTTACAATTGACAGTTACAGAACAGTTAATTTAACAGTTATAGTTAGTTTTAAAAAGTTAAACTAAAACTAAAAACAATTAATTGTAAACAGTCGCTTGATACCTAAACTTATATTTAGGAAAGTTTTATACTTATTATGAATAAATAAAATACATGTAGTATAATTTCCGTACGCTAAAAATTGACCGAGATATTTGGGCCCGTATACGAATTGAAGAGCGAAATGTTTGCACTCACATGTAACTAAAATTAAAATATCAGTTAAGTAAAGGTTTCTAATGTTGACAGAAAATAAAAGATGATCTTAATTACATCTTTTGTGAATAAAATCATAGAAATCCTGTCAAAGAAAACACTGTTATGCTTTATTATTATTACATAATTCATTTGTAGAAGTATTCAGAAGTAGAAATATTCAGAAGTTTAAATTAAATTTAAAATTCAGAATATTTCTACTTAAATATTTTTAAAATACATCTCTTTTGTATAAATTACTTGTTTGAAACTATATTAAGCAAATCATGTATAGCGAAGTTACAAAGTATAAAACGTTACACCCTAATAAATCATAAAATAACATCGAATAGAATTTTTGTGGAAAAAGCAATTATTCTAATTTATTTAGTCAACTTCAAATTATTTAAATTTATTTATTAAATGATTGTTCTTGCCAAAGTGAAAATTACGTCCCGAATCCAGAATTTTGAAATTAAATATCTTAATAAACTTTTTCAAACGAGAGTCAAAAGTTTTATGCTTCATTTTTTATGAGTACTAAAAAAGGTTTCTTAATATAAGTATAGAGACTGAGATACCTTTTGAAAATTTGAATTTGTAATTTTTACAAAATTAAATTTTTTAAAATTTAAAAACACATGAATATTTGCATAATTAAAAACATTTTGTAACTAGCAGTATATGTGTACAATCAACGGTTACGAAAATAAAGGCCGCGCAATAACTTATGCAAACATCGTATATATCTGGTAGTCGAGTATTGAGATTGGCAAGAAACAACTGATAACATATCTGCTAGCTATTAGGTTTCCGTTATTAATAAAAAGCAAGGTGACATCATTTTGTATGTCAAGTGTATCTGTTTTTCATTCAGTTTTCTGGAGAAGGATAAGTCTAAGATCAAACTGCAAGAAATTTGCATATTTATCCCACAATAATATCATGGCACGCTCTGGCAGCAATTTATTCAGACATATCGTGCCAAAGAAATTGAGGCAAAATTACGTACAAGACCGAAGCAACTACTTAGTGCACAGTGACAAAACACAACTGTTTTTAAGCTTTATTAACAAACAGATATAGAACTTTTGTTACCAGGCAACTGCTGGACAGCAACTCTTCAAAACATATAAAAATTAACTATATATCGTGAAATTACCCATACGCCAGGACACAAACAGTTTATCAGCCGCTCACTTCTCCTCAAAGCAAAATTCATTTCAGCTTTTATAGAAATATCATTAATGCAGTAAAGAGGGTTCCCATGTTCGTTTTACTGATGAACTGAGATTTAATCTTACAAGAGGATAAAGATCATCAATTTTTGGAGAAAAGCATCAATTTTTGGAGGAACACAGGATCACCGTTTAAGTTGAAGGGAACAACATTCTTTAGAGGCGGTAGTTTATTGGTGTGTACTAGAGTAATTTTAATCGTCCCACACATTTGCATGTCTTCTAGAGAGGTAATTGGAATATTATTCACTGTAGCGAGGATGTTCTTAATATTTATGTCAGGCCTTTCCCTGTGACTGTTGGTCGTAATTTCATGTTTGTGGATAATAACGCTTACCAGTGTAAGACTGCATACGTCATTCACTTCCTTCAAACTGACTATATATAAAGAAAGAATTGGCCAACCAAATGTTCAAAGTTAAATCCCATAGTAAATATATGTGATTAAATTTGAGTCCATTACTCCACAACCCACTAAGAATTACGAAAAAAATTCTCAAAGAATATGATTGACTTAATCAAGATGCTATAAAGTCCTGATTATGAGTATACTTTATCCGTGCATTAAGGCGGTCGTTCTAGAACATCGACAGAAATGCATCTGTTGACAGTGTACGATGTATTCCAATAATTGGCGGAAGTGATAGAAATAGCAGTCACTTATATCGAAGGAGTATAAGTGTTTGTATCTATGGCAATAATTTTCAGGAATATAGATGTGTTGCCACCATTTTTACGCAAATAGATAATAAATAGGAGCAAGCTCCGACACAGAACGTCACCGCTGATAAGCAGATGTAATTCATTTCGTATAGTTATCTAGTGCAGATAATCTTCATAGAATATTGTGAAAATTCTTGTAAAGATCTATCTAAAAATACATGCAGAGGATTAGAATTTTAAAGTAATTAAATTAAATAACAAATACTGCGGACTCAAATTTAAGAATCGCTGATCTATACAGTAAGTAAATTTAAATCATTATACTACTTATTTTAATTAGTCTGAATTTTCCTTGATTTTTGACCTGAATTTATTTTCTGATTGGCTGAGAACAATCTGTGTTATAGAGATGAAATTCAGTGTGAATAATTTACATCTAATATAGCGTTTTTTTTCTGCGTAGTTATGGATGTCATTTACAATAAATTTACAATGGTAGATAGGCAAAGGGCAAGAACTTACGTTTTGTTATTTGTCATAAGGTAAAAATTCGCAAGTCTGTTTACCGGCATAATTTTAATCATTATTCTTAGAAACAAATTAGCTGTTATCTTCAATGCATCAGTCATTCACATAAGTTTCATTTCAATGTTTCATTCTTTCGTAATGTATTTTAAAACGTTTTCTGTTCAGAGAATACCCTGTATGTTACTCGAAAATTGGACTTTATGACAAGCACATGGAGGAGGATAATAACTTACGATTACAAGTTTTGAGTCAAAAACCAACATGAAACAAACATCAAAATTCTCAAATTTTCCATTAAATTATGGTATTTTACACAGTCCTGTATTGGTCATCACAACTTCCTCCGGATCTGTTCTACGGGGTTGTACAGTTGTTAGCTCTTCAGTGGCAGGTACTTTAACATCCATCGGCGTACTTGGACCTGGCTCTTGACACACTTCGGCACTGGTCAAGGGTATTTCTTCTGCTGAAAGTGGGTCATCTATTCTATTTCGTCGTGTCAGTATTAGTATCAAAAGCATGGCCGTAATCATCGAACCTCCTGAACAAAATAAAAAAATTCCAACAATTTTGCAAATATCCAAATCTTCATTGAACGCTTGGTCTGCGCGATTGATTATTTCGATGTCCTCTTGAGTGTCGACAACTTCTTTCCGTTTTGGCACGAGGAAACCGACTAATATAGCTATGAGGCCCATGATCATAATAAATATTCCAGAAAACAACATTGCCCTCCAGCACAAGACTTGCTTCCGTCGTTTTCTTATTGGCATTGTGTATCCAAAGCGGCGTCCAACGTCTTCGTAAGCTTGCGGATTGTCCATGGCCATAGCCTCGTAAAATGTATGAACGTATGATCGAACACCAAAGAATTCTTGGTTCTTGTTTACCGTTTGTAGTGTCTCTTGTGATTCTCGGGGTTTTGACAACAATGTCTGACTTTCTTCAGTTTCAGATACACTTTCTAAAAGTTGTGGCTTAGAGATTGTCTTTGCCTGTTTCATCACAAACCTCCGACGTTTGGCTTCCTTGGGATTCCGAACTTTGGGTCTGGCGCCTTTAAACTGGTCGTTCTGAAAAATAAATAAAATAAAATCATTTTTATTTCTTTCATTCATTTAATTTTATTATAATAATATAATTAGCCAAAATTATACCTACGGTTAATATGGTTGAGATTTTAAGTGTACAAGTAGAATATTGAATTTTATGAAATGATAAACCGAAAAAATGGCTTGTAGATCTAGATATCAGAAAATTAATTCTAGACGCAAAATTTGAGGAGAAAATTCATAAAAAGCATACATGAAATTAAAAATTGTTGTAATGTAGAAGTCCTTGGAGGGAAACCACAGGAATAAAAACTCATTTCAATCATTTTAAAATACGTGATAAGCATAAAACGTTTCATATTATGCAATATGAATCTCAAAATAAATTTTCTGCATTTTTAGCTTAACTTTTGTTTTCTGCAAAATTTGTTTAATCAAAAACAAAAGAAAACTGTCAGCAGTTATCAGGGGCACAGAAATGTTGTCATTATGTACATATCAAGCGCTTATTTAAGTGCATGTAATCTTAATTTTATCCGCCGGTTGTAAAATTGTAAATATCAGTCATACAAATTCTTATTTTCTTCTCATACAAATTTTTGTTTCTTATATGAACAGAACACTACCTATGAGCCGTAAAGCTAGCCAAACAAATGTTTGTTGCCATTGCATAAAGTCGCTAATGTATTAACATTTTTTTATGGTGTTGCGGATAATCAGAGAATACTGAAATGCCTTTTATCATTTAAAGGTAAGTCCCTTTAAATCTAAACACAACAGGATAGATTAGGAAATAATTTCCAAATATTATATCCCCATATTCTCACAGCAAATAAAATTAATACTAGAGTTTTCAGCTTCTTTGATTAAACTAATACCAGGTATCTACTTCCATTCATTTCGTCTGTCCAAACCCAGTTAATTGTCAAACGTTTGAAAATCAGAAGTTCGTCGCTTTGATAACATTTGCTATATATAGTCATCAAGCACCTCCCACTACAGGACCTGCATTATAAAAATTATAAACGTTTGCCTTACAAATGTATTACTTCTAAACGTTTCGAAAATTGCCGCCATTATTACACTATAGAGTCATTAGGTTACATTTTTGAAGCAAGAGACGGACCTTTTGAATACACGCCAATGTGCTACCATTACATCACTAAGGCATGCTGAAATGAGGAAGAAAATACCTTATAACATTCTCAAATCTTAACAGATAGAAAAGTTTTTCTCAGCATTAGCTTAGCTTGCTTTGCGCACTTTTTAAAATTCCTGAAAGAATATTTTTTTCAAGAATTGTGACTGCACTAAGTAGCGTCCTCTTAAGATATTTGGCTTTCTTGCTAAACATTAGCATGACCCATAAACATCTACGTGTTACCAGTACTGTAAGTGAAAGGTGGTCATAAAAAATATGGCTACAATGCTAAAATTATTACAGATACAGTCTTCTTGCACAATGAAAATGCGTTTGATCGGGTCTAGAACAGAAGATTATTATGCCATCACTTTCTTTATCATTAAAAGACGACTCAGTTAACAATTTAAGGTTAGAAGACCTCCCTTGTAAGTCAATAAGTGCTACTGGAATATGTTGACAAAACTCCCACAAATATGCATGCCATTTTTGTTTTTTGTGTTTAGATTAATCCTCAACTGAATGTTTATACCCTGCACGAATCGTATCAAAAACAAAATTTAATTTTGACTACTGAAACTGTTTCCATAAACCTCTTCACTATTTTAAAGAAATAGTCTCCTAGAAACTACGTTTGAGAAAATAAGGCACGTTGCTAACCTTTTTGAATATTTCCAGAGCATGAAAGTGAACAGATATAATTTTGTTGAAAATATTTGAATTAAGCTTTAATATCTCGAAATAAAAGGTGAATGTAATAGCTAAGGTAACAGACAAAAAGATGCAATGAGCACTACTAAAGGACAAAGGTCTTATTCTCTCTCTCTTTCTACAGGATGTCTCAAAACGTCGTTACCAAACTTAACATGCTGGTCTGACCATGACAAACAGAATTTACACAGGAACTTGTGTCCGAAAATTCGAACGTCGACCGCTACAGAGCAATGTTCGTAAGCGTACATAGAAAGAAAGGATGTTGAAAGAGGCGTTAATATGACTTTTATTAAAGAGCATGATTAAATTATTGAAGGACAGAAGTTCAAAATTCATTCCATTCGCCGTAATGCATGCTTCACAATGTCGACGCATTGGATTCACGGACTCGTTCAAAATGGGCAGTTGTCAGGCAGTTGGCCGCTTCTCTATTCCTGGCAACGAGATCCATGCCCGATGTTCCTGTTGTCCCGTACACCATAGACTTTATGTACCCCCATAGGTAGGAATGCAGGTGAGTCAAGTCGGGGATCGCGGTGGCCATGCGACTGGTCCGCCTCTGCCAATCAAGCTGTCAAGCTGTGTCCTATCGTGTTATCTCCGCACAGTGGTGTTAAAATGTGCAGGCGCTCCATCATGCTGAAACCAGATATTTCGGCGTGTAGCTGCTGGAACATCAATCATCAGATCCCACAACACACTTTCCATTAAATGTCACACAAAATGTCTATGAAGAACTGAGTTAGTAAACCGGTTCATCTTTCTTCTGCAACATCCTCGCCTGAAATGATTACACTTTCCAATTCCCCATAAGCCTGCGAGCACTGCTCTCTAGCGGTCGCCGTTCATATTGTCGGACACAAGTTTCTATATAAATTTTGTTTTTCATGGTATAACAGACCAGTATGTTTAAGTGTGGCAACGACCTTTTGAGACATCCTGTACACATACATATTATTTTTATTATTGCATGCTCCACCATTAGGCACTACAGGGTAAAGAAGGGATGCTGGAGCATATTTTAAGGGAAACTGGTCGTATCTACTTTACACATCCGGGAAACCACAAAAACGCCCATGTAGCCAACCCTTTCACCGGGACTGAAAGTCTGAACCACACTACAGGGTTCTGCGGCTTTTACCGTCCAGCTGATGGTGGTCCTTAATCTATGTATTAGACTACAAGATTTTTAACTCCGTCTTTTGGTTTACAACTTAAAGGTTGAAAGGATCTTACGTCGTTGGGATAAGACTAAGGTTTCACGAAATTTCAGGCAATCCTTTCAGAATTTTTATGACTTTAAAAACTGTTTGATGCTCAATACTCACTATTTTAATACAATTTACTTATTATATTTTAATACAATTACTTGTTGTTCATCATTTTATTACAACTAATAATTGTTTTAATGCAATTATAAAAGGGAAAACCTTTTTCCATTAATATTTTATAATCTCAACAAATAAATAAATAAAAAACAGCAAAATCCACAATTACTATTCTATTCTATAATACTTTATATAATATATTATTCGTCGCTTGTTTCGTTGATTTACTTTAATATTTAGCATTTGTCAAATTTATTGAATTCTTTGCACGATTCCGGACCATCACAGCGTTCCCAACGCTGATATTTAGTTCTCTCTCTGAGCACACATATTGGTTATTACACAAAATAAACAGTCTCTTACTGCATTTCCCCCCATAATCACAGATATAATTCGACGATTAATTTGTAATGATTTCGTATGAAACATGATTACTCTGAAAAAATGCAATATAGATTTAATCAGTTTTGTATCACTTTTAACTTTATTCCCGAATATTATTGAATTTTTAGCTGTTTTAAATCCTTTTAAATAATTTATTATTACAGACATGTATATTAATAAATATTTTCTCGCAAAAATTAAGCTTTTATTAAGCATTATTGAATTTTTTAGCTTTTTCAAATCCTTTAAAATAAAGCATTTTATTTAATAATTCATTATTACGTAGATGTATATTAATAAATATTTTCTCGCAAAAATTAAGCTTTTATTGATATTCGTTCGTTTTACTAAATTTTGAACATTATCCATTTAAAAATTATGTCAGCTGACCGAATTTTATAGTCAATTTTTCCATGTATGTAATTCAAAGTGTTTCTATGTATGAATAGAAATCTATACCACCGGCATTACATAAACCATTATTCTCATGAAACCAATCAAATTCCATAAAAGAAATATTTCTAAAACTGATTCAAGAGCGTACTTTATTTTGATATCATAACATTATCTCTTTTTATATGGACTGGTACTAGTGAAATTCACGTAGTTTGCGAAATTCGGGACACGTAATGAAATGGGACACTAAACGAAAGTCCAGTTGTTTTATTACAACTAAAATTGAAAAGCTAATAAGTATTGTGTTGTAAGACCGATTTGGTCTTAAAAATTTTTTGCGCAATATGCTGCAAAAATTATGAAATAATAGGAAGAAATATTGTAGTGAACTCGCCAAAAAGTTACCAGGAGCTGTGTCTCCAAGAAATAGTTCAACGCAATATTTTTTAAAATAAATTAATAATAAATTACAAAAGTTATAAAAATTACAAAGCGGAAAATGGTAAATTAGCCTAATTAGACTTCCAACCTGATTTTCAAGGGAAAATTAGTTGGACGTCGAACTAAGCTAACACAATTACGCGTTTCGCCGAAACAGACAATTGAAGCTCTTGTGTGACGAAAAAATTTTTTAAATAATATGAATTGTCCCAAAAAAATCTTTTGGAGCTTCAATTCTCTGTTCCAATTTCTCGACGCGTCCGCAAAAAATAACACATTAAGGTGTAAAAAAATGTAAATGCAACTCCGAGTACACAATTCCGATATTACAATTGCATATACTAGTTTAAAAAAAGAAATATGTTATTTTATAGTAGCTGCATTTTAACATAATGGCTTGTCATACATTATAATTAAACGGTAAAATTAAAACTATAAAGATAAAAACTAATAACCATTTGACACATTTTATCGCTTCAAATATTCCAGTTAATTACAAGTATACTGACGTTGACAATTATTGGCTACTCATCTGGAAAGAAAATCTGCGGAGTAAAATTCCACTAGCCTTGGGACTTCCGCTAATAAGATATTATCTTCGCTCATTATCATTTTTA